TGACTCTTAAGATTAGTCTATTCAAATATTCATTTCAAGACTAATTTTAGCTGATTTTTCGATATAGAAACACAGTTATAAATACGGGCCTTTATTACGTGACTGATTCAAGTTCTCAAAAATAATCCTAGGTAAAAATTATCGAGATGCTTCCACGTTATGTTGATTAAAAAGATATTTATTTTAAGCAACTCAATGAATTTATTATTAAAGTTAAGGTCAGCGATTTCGGAACGCGCTGTAGATTTTAAAGTGACAAAAAGTGCTCTCGAGCATGCGCTTAGTTTTACACGACAACGATCTCGGCAATCGGTAGCACTCGCGGACGCGACGCTTCGCGTTTGTCACCGTTCGATTACGATTAATGTAATTTTCTTTTAATTCTTTTGGTTTTCTTTTTTTTTCTTTTTTTTGTTTTTCATCGATAGGTTGTTCTGAGCAATTGAGATCTAGCATTGGAGGGATTTCATATACCTGAAACGTTAGTCACTCTCGTCGCATCATCGCGTCCGTTTCTCACCCTGGATACCCCTTGGAAACTGCGCGTTTCAGAAGGAGGGGGGGGGGGCGAATTCACCCGAACTGAAACCGCATGTAAATTACGGGACTCATTCGCCGAAACGCTGATGAAACCTATCGTGGCATCTCCCGCGAGTCCTTTTAACGTTGATAACGCTGTACGACACCTCCTTCGACATTTCTCCCTCATCCTCAGCTGTTTCGCCTTAGGTTTCTTTATCTCTTTTTCCCCCAATCATTCTCTCTTTTAGATCTACTTCCTTCCTTCCTTCCTTTCTCTCCTTTTCTCTCAGCATCGTACTCGGCTCTCATCCATCCGCTCTTCGCACTCATCGCACTCACACTTATCTGAGGATAACAATTGACATACGTTTCGTAACTTTCCTATACGACTAGACAATGTGTCGTTGCATTGTCTTATACTTTTATTATTTTATTTGTATTATTATTATTATTATTATTATTATCTTTTGCTTTTTTTTTAACGGTTGTACCTCGTACTCGTGGAGAATTGATCCGGCGACAGAGTCCTCGTTCCTTCCATTTTTTTTTTTTTTTTTTTAAAAAGTACGTTCTCGAATTCAACCGCCGGTGCAATTGAGTTGATGAATACTTTTCGTTTCCTTGTCTCTTCTTCTGCAATCGCGAATGCATTTCTAGCGACGATGTTGATAAGACTAACGTGCCCGACGCATCTGCATCTCTTGTTTCATCTCGTGATTGCTTTATTTACGGGGCTAGGCCGCCAAACGTGCTGATCAGTTTCAATTTCTTTTCTCGAGTATGTGAGATTTTTTGAAGTACATTCGACCACTCATGCATCACTCATAGTGACGACATAGTGTATGACACGGTTGAAGTTTCTCAAGCATATGTACTTAACTTCCGCATTATTTTGCATTTTTTTTCTTACGTTTCTTTACCTCCTCTTCTTCCCTCATCCTCTTGATCGGAGAGCACTACTACTACTACTACTACTACTACTACTACTACTACTACTATTACTTACTATCACCACCACCATCACCATCACCATCATTAGAGAGTAGGTCCGTTTCACGGCGAGCTACAGGTCCGTTCGATTCGAATGCCCAATGTCGGGGGGCGAATTCTCGACGCAGTGTTATGGGAATGAATTCGAAATTCGACCGACATGACAAATGCGCGCGACTCTTCCGCGGCCCGTGATTATGAGTCGAGGTCGAGAGAACCTAAGTCGTGAGAAACCTAACCTGATGTTTTGATACTAAAAATCAACGACGACGCGTTCTCGTCGCGTTTCGTAAAAAAGATCGGATTGCCCCGCTTCCGAGGTTCCATTTCGTTCCTTTGGAAGAAAAACATCTGAGCGAGGGTGGAGGAAGCGAGGCAACATTGGACAGGACGTGTCTATAATTTACGGTAGTTACGAGCTGGTCGAAGATATCACAGAGAACGCGACGCCTCTGCGAGTCTGCGTTCACGTCCCCTGCTTGTCCCTCTGACAATATTACTAAGCTAATTTCCTTTCTTCGTGCGCGCTAGAACTGTCCTTTCCTTATCTGAAGTATTTCAGTCCCGCGACCAGCAGGAATTTCTCGATGAAAAGCTCGGAGTCGAGGACGGCGATATGCGCGGCTCGGCCTATCAGGGCGTTTGCCGTCGGCGGTAGAGCGTGATGTACGTCATACCTGACGAGGCTGACCCCGGACGCCGACATCACGGGATACAGAATGTTGTGCACCATCTCGCGATACGCGGCACCTGGGAGAATCACACAAAAATTCCGACTGACTTTCTCATAGCCTTTAGATATTTTCGCATCTCACCCGTCAATCGATTTAATTGTTATTTGATTATTAATTTATTATTAGCTTTAATTTATTTAATTTATCAACTTGGATGTCTTGCTTGCTTAATGAAAAGCGAGCCAGAAAAATTAAAAAGTCGGTTAATATCAATGTCAATTAAAATAAAGATACCTTGATCTGTCGGATCTCGTACGGCAGCCTTGCAGAGTTCGATTCGGGCAGAATGCAAGGGCACGTATCGGTCCTGAGCGCTGCCGCACAGCAAGACGTGTTTAAACTTCTGCAGATTGCTCTTCTGGCTCAAACGGAACATGAAGGAGCGCCTCACGTCCGGCGAATCCTTCATGGCCAATTGTAATAAAGATCCGGACTTTTTCCACTTCTGCATGAACCACATACCTGTGCAAATCGCGGAAGAAATCACGTCGTCGAGATTTTTATCGTTTTTTGCAATGTAATCGAGTAATGTAAATAAAAAAAAAAAAAAACGAGGACATTTGTTAGGCTTACCTGCGTTGACCAAACCGCTCGTGTTGTAAAGAGTGCCCAAGTGTGGTCCGCTTAAGCTGAGGAAGGTGTGTAGACGTGGAAGAAGCGGACGCAACTGCGGTCGCGTCAGGGCGCTCCGGATTATTATGGTCCCAAGGGAATGCCCGATGAAGCTCACCTTCGTCGGATTCAGGCCCGACGATTCAATATGATAGAGAATTTCAGACACTAACCGATCGGTCATCGTGTCGAAGTCGGAAAACGTATCGCCCTTTCATACACAAGCAATATGATAATTTACTTTAGGAGTTTCTGAAATTTCGGCTGAGGGAGGAAAAGCAAAGGTTGGAGATTGCAGACTTTAAATATATAAATACTAATAAATAGTGATTATAAAAATTTATTAAATAATAATTTATTAATTTACTCGCAAATGAAAAAAAAAAAAAAGAAAAAAGAGTGCGTTGAGCGTAATAGAGTGCGTTTGCAGTATAGAAAAAGTTTAGGCAATTAATTTGCTGCTAATCAAAAGTTAACTTGTGGCTCTAAAAATTTATATTTTCTAGGTGGTGGTTTGAAGCTGTCGCTTGTGCAATTTACCTGATTTCTTTCGGACATCAGGAAATCCAAGTGCGCCCCAGGTAGGCCCAATTCCAGATACGTCTTGACGAGACGGAGATCCGCGGCGTTACCGTCAAGACCATGGACACATATGATAAGGTGCGCACCTTCCGGCGATAAGACTCGGTACTCGTCGCTGATGTGGAAGTACGGCAGGGTCGAGGCCAGGCTCGGGTAGTCACTAAGAGGCACATTGGATCTTAATGGTTGAACCGACGGCGAAGAGTTCAGAAGATCACCGTATCCGAGGGAACGGGCACGTTTATGTAAATGCGACTGTGCTTCCTCGCGTTCTCTAGATGGGGATAAGGTAGACAGAGAAGAGAACTTAACTACGAAAGACAGGCGGAGGAGGAGCTGCGGAAAGCCAAACGCAAACGGCACCTAGTACCTTTGAACGGAAGCGAAGACTCGAGAAGCATCGTCGCGCTGATATTTTATATCGCGCTGCGAAAATAATACGATAAGAAAAGAAAGAAGAAACAAACTATATCCCAATATTCATGAAGCGTAATTTGAAGTTACCGATGGATCAAGTTGTCAAATTTTAGGTTTATGCTTTATTTTCCGGATCTACTACTTAGATTCTCTAGCTCGATTAATAAAAAAAAAAAAAAAAAAAAAAAAACAATATCAGACTAAGCTAAATGATAAATCTAAGCTTTACAAATTATTTAACGTCCAACTTCAAATTTTGCCTCGCGAATATCAGACTCGCAAGGAAGCGGTTCCAATCGGGTGGGCTGATTCTTATGCGTGAAAACTCGGCGCACCTATAAATCTTTCCGGAAAAGCTCATCTGCCTTTTGAACTCTTCTTTACATTTTTTGAAATTGATGAAGTCATCCTGCGTAGATTGCAACAACTCCTTGCCCTCCTGATAACAGTCAAGGCAGATATCTCTGGCGGCGTAAGCGTTCTCTCTGTCTCGATCCCGGTTTCGTTGCGGACTACAGGGTGCTGTTTTGTTCTGTTTCGGGCTGTTCCTGGTCTGCTTCACCGTTTCGTACACGTGATAGAGCGGATTGTCGATCGGCGCCGGTGGATCGCGAAACTCCTCGGGAGGTGGCGGTTCATCCTGAAACATCTTCGGCGGTGGTAGGCGCACCTCCTCGTACGAGTGTTCCTCCACGGAACACTCCTTCGTCACGGTAGGACGATCCTTGCGCGATACGATTTTGGACAGCTTCTGCCGCAGCTGCTCGCTCGAGAGCTTGGCGTGATTGCGACGCTGCTCCGAGCTGGAGGTGTCGCCGCTGCTGACCCAACCTGAACATTCCGATGTGAGATTGCTCGAGCTCGAGCTTGGCGTGAGACTGCTGGGCCTGGTGGACGGTGGACTGAGAAGATTCGGTATGATCGGCAGGTTGTTGCTCAGGTTGTCCTTGCTATCGCGTATCGGCATGCAGGGCAGAGAGACCGCGCTACGGGGCACCACCACTTTGTTCTGCGCCACTGGCACGCTGGCGCATCGCAATCTCTTTACGTTCGGCGGCGGCGCCCCAAAGCTTGACGCGTCCGACGGCGTCGCGCCGTTGGTTGCCGGTGCCTCCATGGGTGATTTTATAGGCTCCATCTGAAAATCGAGCGAGTGCGAAGTATGGGATATTACATGCAAAAGAAAATCAAATTAGATTTTTCTTCACGGACACGTGCTATTTTTTACCTTCAGGATAATTTTATTATTATTCTCCACTTCCAGGACGCTCGTTGCAGGCGTCGAGGAGGGGTGACGGTGTTTGGGCAACGGAGCGACAGCTGGATCTTGATACGCCGGCGGTGGCGGTGCTGGTTTCCTATTCTTGTGACCGCACTTTCTGTCATTTTTGTGATCGCTCTCCTCTACCGGGTGATCTACATCGAGGACAGGCGCTGAATGCGGTCTTCTGCTGTGTCTGTCCTTCTTTCTCTCGCGGGACTCTTTCTTCGGTTCCGGTTTCAGGGCTATTACCTCGTAAATCGGTTCTTGTATCGTCTCTGCGTTCTTCTTTTCGGTTTGACCGCGTCGTTGCTTCTCTTCGTTATAATTTTGATTAACACCATTGCGAGGCGACGACTTGACCGATCGTTCCGCTCTTCTTCGAGTCGGTCGATCTCGCCGGAAATCGCAGTATTCGTTACGCTCGACATCATCGAGCAGACGTTCCGTGCTCTTCGGCCTCTTCGGCTTGTCCACCTCATCGCGCGTCCTTCCGTTTGTACGATAAAACAACGAGTCCGTGGTTGCGTAATAATTGGATTTCTTGCTCGTAGAATCCACCAGGTACAGATGGCTGCTGGTTAGCGCACCACCACCACCGCCATTCATACACTCTGGTATCTCTGGGCGACTTCTTTGTGCCATCGATGTTTTGCCGAGTGTATGATATCTACGGCTCTCGACGCTGTTTGTCTGACTGTACTTGCCACCTGATTGATGTCCACCGGACTTTTTTGAATTTCCTCGGTAAGTCACTCTGTCCAACGTCGCTGTGTGCAGCGGTTGTGGCTCCTGCAAAAAACTATCGCCGTTTACGTTCGCCTTGGCGGATAGAAAGCTACTTTGGTCGTTTGTGGTCGTTGGCAGCGGTTGGCGAGTTCCTAGGCGATGACTTCGTGGCTCCAGCCGTATTCTTCTGGTATCGAGAGAGTGATAATCTACGTAAAGATAAATAGAAAATATATCAATCTGTTTTCAAAATTTCTCTATATCGATTTATCAGTGTGATTGTTCTATCAATTCGTTTTCATATTTCATCATTTTTGTTGACATTCTAACGAAAAGTTTTATAATATAGATACTTGGCAAAATTTGTTTTTACTACACGTTATGGCTATCTGAGATTTTATCAAATCTTAGATATTTTATCGCACCTTCTACCGTATTTGTCGACTTGCTTTCTGTCAAGCAATCGGGAAATTGACTAAGGTCTAAAGCGCCCACGCACGTTGGCACAGCAAGATTCTGATCGCAGGATTTGGACGAAGGTCGATAACCGGGAAGATGCCCGCCGGGCGGCAATTCCGGGAACATCACCGCCAGCAGTGAACTAATGGAAGAGTACTGATACTGGGACTGTTGTTGCTGTTGCTGTTGCCGGTTCGGCACCAGCATCTGCGTAGACTTGGCTCGAGGCAGAGGTATCACTGGCGTGGAACCAAGAGACGGGTTCGGCGCGGAGCACGCCTGCTGACCTGAGGGCGGGAAGAGGGTGCTAATGGACGGCACTGTCGACCTGGATTTCCCCCTGGAAGGAACCGTCGCGGGTGGCGTAACGTTTCGACCGCTGCCACGCAATCCGCGCGAGAACAATTGGGTCGACACAGACCTGGGCAGAGTTTTCGGCGACGTTTTCGGCTGCTGAGGTGCCGCTAGCTCGGGGCCCAGCTGATCGAGCGACTTGCTGTGCCTCGCCGGAAGTGTGGAAGGCGTTAGAATAAGGCGGCCCTGGATCGAACCGATGTCCTGAGCCGCGCCTTCGCTCCTGGGTGACCAGATACCCATGGAGCGCGATTCCAGAATTGCCGCTATGCCGCAACTGCAGTCGTCTATGCTGGGAACTGGGAGAGGAATATCTCGTAGTATAGAGAAGGCCCGAAAAATAAATATGGTATGATAGGTCAATATTATAAATAGTATCATATTTATTCACCACTGTTTCTGTGTCTCTGCTGCATATCGGCGTACTGATCTTCGAAAATCAAAGGCAACGAGTGAAGATCACCGTCCAATTCGGGACAGTGAACAGGTAACGGTGGCAATGACGCGAGATAACGCGACCTTCGCGCAGCCTCGCTTACCGCTTGATAAGACTGATAGTTCGCGTCGTAGCAGCCCGCCGCCGATGTTCTTGGATTTTCTAATACGAAGAAGCCTTCTGCGAATCGCTTCACCTACAATTGATAATTAAAATTAAATAAAACACTATAACATGTGATTATATTTATATTCAATCTAAGAATATAATATTTATTAAAACTGATATTTATCAAATATCATATTTATTCAAAAATAATTTATAACGAAAGACTGTAAACATTCAACTGTAAAAATGCTGTTTTTATATATCTCTAGTTCTAATTTGATATCATTAGTATTGCTTCACGTTTAATTGTCATTTTAATAACAATTAAACTTGTAAGTTTTTCTCACTCTTAGTTGATGATGAATTCGTGCTAAATGCTGATGAACCGCTTCTCGGCCGGAGAACGCTTCCAGGAAATGCTGCCAGAGAACGATATTTTGTGCGCAGAGTTGGGCTACGTCAGCCTCCTCGGTGTCCATCAACTGCAAAAATACGGATTTTAGCAAAGCGTCTGCAAATTAAGAGCATCAGGTGAAAAGTCAAACCTTCGTGATCTCTTTGTGCGTATTCTGTGCGAGCTCGAGCGCCCTTTGTTGCCAAGAAGGGAGAAGTCGTGCCAAGTCGGACAAATCGTTGAGTAAGGACTCCCTTGCAGCTAGAAGCAGCCTCGTGACCTCTTGTTGGACTAATCTCGCGTGCTGTAACCTCGTCGTCGAGCCGACGCATCTCGTGGTGGTCTCCTGAAATTATTCACTTATCACTAGAATTTACTGTACAAAATCCATTGCGATCAGCATCGTTATATATCGATATTTCCAAACTCACGATATTTCCAAAGGTCGTCGCGTTGCTGTCACCGTTCGTCGCGGATTGCTTAAATTGCAGCCAGGGTTTTCCGTTTCGTGGCGCGCTGCGATCATAATTGAATATACTACAGGATGTACTTATACCAAAGACATAATTAATTTTTTGCGATAAATATAATCGAAATATAATGGTCTAATCTAAAGACCCATTTATCTTTATCATAATAAATAGAAAAACAGACCACGCGTATACTACATTTTATACTTATAGATATATTTCTAAGACTAAATTTATCACAAGTGTATGTCACAACGTTTTCAACGTTTTCACTAGCACTGATCATTCTAAATTTCAAAGCCAACATGATCACTGTGACAAATAAAGTCGGTTGGTTTTCAGGAATTCAGAAGTTGAGAAGTTGAGAAGTAATAAATTGTGTGACTAGTACGCGTGGAAAGTTGAGCCAGTTTCGAGTTTCAGTTTCAATTTCTTTCTAAAGTGTCAAGAACTCACCAACTCTGCACTGCGTGCAGTATACCCTTCCTACGTTCACCGAGATAAGAGCCATAAAAACAGAAAAGACGCTCTCGTGAGGGACAATCGGATCAAAGGGTCGATTATATATCGAGCAGTATTCGGAGAGTTACGAAATGCGAGCGCGATCGAGCACGATACTGACTTGATGAAGGGTTGATGAAGGGCCACGAGACAGGCGTGGATCGTGATGGACACCGCGGCAAGGTGAAAGTAATCGAACAGCACCGGCAGATGATAGTGAAGGCCCTTCGTGGGTGTGAAGTTCAACTGTAACGCCCTGAAAAAGAACGCCCGTCAAACTTCCTATTCGATCATGAATGACTCGGTATAGCGGCTCACGGTCGTCGAAACTATCATCGATCAGTTCAGCATAATTTCAAACATTTGTGAACAAATTGAACAAATGTCCGATAGGTCTATCCAAAAGCACGTTTGACAGATTGTCTCATCCTTTGAAAGGTTTTCAGAAATTGATGTAATTTCAATTCGATATTACTAAATCCATAATGATAATTTTGTCTGGTATAAATGTTTTTGAGAAAATTTTAGGAATTATAAATGTATATATAAGTAAAAATATAAGAGTAAAAAACAGATATTTTTATATCACATTTATAAAGATCTTTTTCTCCGTTTTTTTTTTTTTTTTTGGGGGGGGGGGGATTATTATCCTATTGCGTAATAATCCAACCTCCAGCTATACTTGCGGTAAATAAACAGTCAAACTCTTAACTTATTTTACTTTTTTAAATTTTCCAATTCGTCTAGCTTTTCTCACTGACTTATCTCCAATTTTTGGATCCGATCCGATGTTCAAAAGAAGTCGCGAACGGGAATGATAGGAATGACGCGGCCGGCTGATTGCTCAGATTACTCGCAATCCAACCCTTGCGTGTCTCTGCTGTCACTGGGAAAATAAGAAATACGCCGACGTTGTTTCGTTTCGTGTTAGACGGCGAGAGACGCTTACCTCGAGGACACGCAAGCCATGTTGCCCGGCTGCGTTGGCTCGCTGAACCATAGCTCGACGCCTAGATTAAAGTGGGTGCGCGACAGGGCCTCCTCAATCTTGTGACTATGCACGAGCACATGCGCCCGGAATAGTACGGAAGTGCCGAGTGTCACCTCCTCGTTCCTGTAGAGGATCTGAAAGCGCTTACTCGTACCCGGCGCCTCCAGGGAGTCTGCAACACAACGGGTGCGTGCCTCTCCATCGAATTCGCTCGTCGCTCGCCTCGGGTATATAGAGATCGATCGATCGGGGTGAACGGATTCAGCGAGGATACGTTCGCGTGATACGAGTGAGAATTTCTCGGACAGTCCGAGAAATGATCGCGAGGGCTCACGCGATGCCCATATAAGAAATGAAATATCAAGACTAAACGAGAGAGAGAGAGAGAGAGAGAGAGAGAGAGAGAGAGAGAGAGAGAGAGAGAGAGAGAGAGACACAAAGTATTCTCGATAGGCTCGATCAAATTTCTCCTAATAACAAATATCGCGATTATTTCTCGAAGATATTATGCGATATCGATATTGATTACGAGGGTTAATCTTACCCGCGTTGGAAGAGATCGACATTGTAGAACTTGCAGAGCTCGAGGGAGAACTCGAGGGTGGCCTGTAGATCGCTCATCTCGATCCTCGTGATAGAAGGAACCACCCCCGTCCCGTGCTACCCTGGCACAGCTACCCCTAATCGCACGAAGATCGACTTTGGCCAACACGATGACTTGCGAGCACGAAATTTTCAGGGCCTTGCCGAACCTCTCGGTTCGCTCCAGCCATTCTGGAGAGGAATCTCAGCGCCGAAGGTCCTCTGAAATAACATCCGAATTCTTAATAATCAATTCGATCCACCTTATCGATATAATTCTTATTAGAAATTTTTTTAAAAGATATAAACATCATCCATGTATCTTAAAATAAATTTTATTTTTATTGTTCTTATCACATTACAACAATTACACAGTAAGTACTACAATAAGTTTATATATATATATGAGAGAGATTATGTTAAAATAGACATAATAATTATATAAAACAAGAAGAAAGCAATTATTATATTATAATTAAAATTATATATTTCAACAACTTAATAAAAAAATTATAATGAAATTTATTTTAAGAGATATGGTGGTATATTTTAGTAGTCCAATGCGCGCATTAAGAGAATATAGTGCCACAAAATATTTAATAGTTCCTCATTGTTAAGGACGCTTAAGGACAAGCCGGAAAGCGCTTTTCATATTTCAAGACACATGTTGGAAAGAGCCATAATCGTCTCGTTAAAGTTTCATCGTTGCTCGTATGATATTTGCCATTCTATAGCGATAAAAACACGAACACGAACATGCCTACGTCATAAATAAATCGGCGACATCTAACTTAGCCGTAGCCAAATTTAGTCTGGCTGTCTGGAATAAACTACTCGATCAATTAATTTCTAAGCGGACTATCATTACTTAACTATATCGAAAATTCAATTTCTTGTAGTGAGAATATAGAAAGAAGAACAACGACCGGATATATAGACCGGATATATTTATATGATCCGGCAATACGATGGCGCGGAGAGGAATAGAGTTTCAATAAACTCTTCTTTTTCCAAATCGATGTACAAATCGATATACCGAAGGCCGACATAGTCCACTCTACTTTGATGTTTATAGTGTGGAAAGTATTTCACAGCGATCTGTATTTCACTGCCAAGGACGTTTCAAAAGCGCGCACGCGAGTGCAATTATCTTCGACCATTTCCCTGCTTCGTCCCTGGAGAAGAGAGAGAGAGAGAGAGAGAGAGAGAGAGAGAGAGAGAGAGAGAGAGAGAGAGTA